CCAGGAAAGGAATTCTAGCAACAGCAAATGACTTAATACTTTCTTAGTAGAAGGATCGAGACGATTGTACTAAACTAAGGAACGAGTAAAGTACGATAAGCCAGAAGGCTATAGTGCTTGAAACAACCCCCCCCCCACTTCCTAATGTCCATAATCATCACCTGTTTTATTTGCTATTATACAGGGTGAATTGCTACTCGTGCTACAAACTTCTCCAGTAGATTCTTCACCCTAAAATGAACAAAAAAGTTCATATTGTCCATGGTCCGATTCTCAACCATTTCAGAGTAATTTCGCTTTTTATCGATTTTGAAAGATATCACGTCCTGGCGTCGGAAAATCGTGATATCTTTTAATCTAAACATTTCTCTTAAAATCTAATAGCACCGTTGAAATTCCCGTTAATTTTTAGAGAGAATCAAAATCATAATTCCATTGAAATTTTTTAATTTAATTTAATGCCCATTTAGTATGTAATGCTTAAGAAGTTTACAAACAGCTAGAAGGTCAAGGAAGAAAGACCCAAACGTTTTGCCACCTTCATCTTCTTATTGAAAAATTAACGGGGATTTCAACGGTGCTTTTAGATTTTCAGAGAAATGTTTAGATTAAAAGATATCACGATTTTCCGACGCCAGGACGTGATATCTTTCAAAATCGATAAAAAGCGAAATTACTCTGAAATGGTTGAGAATCGGACCATGGTCAATATGAACTTTTTTGTTCATTTTAGGGTCAAGAATCTACTGGTGAAGTTTGTAGCACGAGTAGCAAGTCACTCTCAAACATTAGCAATCCTTGAACCACCATTTTTTCTCTTTTTGTCATCAACATCTTGGTCTCACAACCACTAAATAAGAAAATGACGAGTGCGTTGGAAGCGTTATTAAATCAGGTAGTTTTCCTCAAATTTGCTGCCTTCTGAGACTAAAATTAGAAACTCTGGATTACTTTATACACTTTCCGATTTACACAATTTTCCACTCTTTTTGTAGTTCTGGCTGAAATAAAACACAAAAAATTAGCCCAAACATTTTGCCACCGTCATCTTCTTATTGAAAAATTAACGGGAATTTCAACGGTGCTATTAGATTTTCAGAGAAATGTTTAGATTAAAAGATATCACGATTTTCCGACGCCAGGACGTGATATCTTTCAAAATCGATAAAAAGCGAAATTACTCTGAAATGGTTGAGAATCGGACCATGGACAATATGAACTTTTTTGTTCATTTTAGGGTGAAGAATCTACTGGAGAAGTTTGTAGCACGAGTAGCAATTCACCCTGTATAATTGGTGAACTTGCTCCTCGGCTTTCGTTTGTTCTTCCTGGAAAACTTTCTCTAAGACAAAAACATGCCTTACATGATAAAACAGTCACAAATATCTAAAGATAGAGCAAATTTACCTTTAACGATTATTTGAAGATCGTGAGATGCGGTCTCGTGTGACGTACGTCTTAGAAAAACATTTTCTTTATCGTGCCAACATTTCGAGCTTTATTGAGATCATCTTCAGGGCCTGGGATTTATAAACATTGTTTAAATTTTACAAATACATGTAGGATGTGAAAAAAGTTAATTTATACACGATTTTTAAACGTTGTTTAAATTTACGTCATAAACGTAAACCAGCAATAACTCACTGGCACTCTCACGACACACAGTAATGACACATCTGCAAAGAAAACAAACACTTTGAGTGAGTACAAATTCTTTGATCGAGTCTAAAATTTCTAGCATTTGTATAAACTCACTTTTTTCACATCCTGCATGTATTTGTAAAATTTAAACAATGTTTGTAAATACCAAGCCCTGAAGATGATCTCAATAAAGATCGAAACGTTGGCTCGATAAAGAAAATGTTTTTCTCAACCTCACGCCAGACCGCATCTCATGATCTCCGAATTATTATTATACATTAACTAACGGTCACTAAACACCACACATTTATCATTTACTATTTTCCGTCTTGAATTCATTTTTTCGTCAAACCTGAGTATTACAAAAAAAAACTTTTTGGTAAAGTTGTTGCTGCAATTACAAGGAATTCGGTAATGAGTTTTTAAAGACTTGGTACAGAATTTGGTCCCGATCTTTTATCTTTATTTTTCAGTTTTAACCGCCACCCTTCCATTCGCCATTGCCTTCATTCTAAAAATATATTCAAAAGCTGTGAGAACAATCATTTATAAGAGTATCCTTTTATTTGAGACTTTTCCAAATGTTCCGCTTCTTCTTTGTTTTTCAACTTTTGTTTACTGATATCCGAAACATGTTTCTCTTGCCTGTCATGGTCGTAAATTAATTCTACTATATTGGTATTGTTATAGCAACGAAGTTAGGGAGGTATTTAATTTCTCAACCATCAAGCGACTAAAGAACGCCTCAAACTAACACACTTTAACAAGGCATCCACTGAATTTGATCAGAATACATGTTCGCCCCGGTTAACAGTCGACCCGCTTGCAAATATTGTTCGACATTTTTTTTGTTCCGTTTCATAAAAACGGTTTGTTCAAAGGGGAGTAGACAAAACGGAGAATTGTGTTCCCTCGTCGCTCTTTCCGCCGTGACGGGAATACGCTTAGGAAAGCCAGAGAAAAAAAATCTATAATGCTGATTGGAGTACGTCCTCAGAAGTGATTTCCATGAATTCGAAAAGTGTATCGTTCCGACGTCGGATTCCCGTCTTCTTTAAACTGTGCATTAATTATTCGCGCATTAGTTTTAATAACTTGACTTTACATGGTATCCTCGACAGAATTTAACCACAGAACCTAAAAAAAATAATAATAATTTCAGAGAGAAATCTAGTTGACACTGCTGTTTAACTGACGTCAAGTTCTGCATACATTTTGTCACTCAGTGGATTTTCCGGATTCCCTACCCTTTGACCTACTTTCTTAAGACATTTCTGTTAAATGTTATATTTTTATGACGATCATAGAAGCATTATTTGACCATATTTTAAATTAATACTAAAAACACATCTAGGAAAATCAAAGTTGAAAATTATCATATTGAGTATATTCTATCGGTCAACAACTAGATATGAAATGGCCAACACAAGTTGTCTATTGACGGTTTGGAATCTTACAATCAGTTCCAAACGTCTCTGGTTGCGATTGCCCAGCCCTTGGAATTTTAACCGAGCAAGATAGAAACAAAAATATTTCAAAGCGGCACTGACGCCTATGTCAGTATGATAGGTATTACTCTTTTTAAAAAGACAGTTCCTACTCAAAGTAAGTTTATGTTCAACGATCGGGATTTCGAGCCTACAGCTCATCATCAGCTTGAAGGAGAGACCATTGTAAGACTGAACCCCCCGGACCTGATGATGAGCAGTAGGCTCGAAATCCGGATTGTAAAAACAACTTACTATGAGTAGGAACTATCTTTTTAAAAATCCTGAACAAAATACTCACTCCACCGTTTATCTATACTTTATAGGCCACTGTCATTGGTAATTTGTCAACTACTTGATCGATCTGGCACCTTCTCGGACTATAGACCAACTCTTGCTCAGTAAATTTTTTTTGTGTTAATTTATTAATTTTTTCCTATAAAAAAGTGGACCGTATGTCGAACCAAGTAACAGTAGGTAATCTAACAGAGCGAGATCTGGACTAAATGTCGGGTTGGGCGGTGCTTTGATGTGATAAAAATCTTCTGAATGAGCTGAATCCGGCGAACGATCCTTATCCTGCTGGAAGAGAACTTTTTTCCGGTTAATCAAAGAATGTTCACTGTAGAGGAGTTCCTAGAATATCGATTTAAAAAATTCATTATTAATAATTAACCCGGCCTTTTTCTTTTTTATCAGCAACTAGTGATTTGATGTAGTGTAATTTCTTATAAAATCAATATAAGCCCTCTTTTTAAAAAGATTTATTTCCTATAATTTGAAAAATCATCAAATAAACACTCCCGGACAAGTAAACCTTTAAAATGAACTGTTAATTGAATTGAATTCTTGAAAAACTGCTCTGATTGTTGTTTCATCAAACAATTCGTCATTTATTTAATTATTAACCTGCAGCCAGGGCAAAAGAAGAAAATTTTGGTGACAATTTAAAAAAGTGGTCAGGTCTCCAATTAAGCTTGATTATAATTATGTTGGACCAAAATATATAATGTAATAATGTCAAAGAAAAAACATTCTAACATCTCCCTATTCTACACAATAGTCCCCACCTTGCACCCTCTGATTACCACTTATACAAGCCAAAATAAAATTGATTTAATCAAATTTTTTGCTTGTGAGGACTGTGTTTTTAGAAAACTAGAAATATTTAAAACAACGGTTAAAATTTCGGTCATTTTCCCAACCTCGCACCTTGTAACTTCCTTTTATTCAAGCCAAAAAACTAATTCAGTCAGATTTTTTGCCTGTGATAATACGTTATTACAAAAAATAGTTTTAAAAAACAGCTAAACGTTCGATGATATTCCCGACCTCTCAGTGTTCTTCAAAGTTTCTTTTTATAAACGTAATTAAATCTTATCTGACAAATTGATACAGACGCAACTCTCGAGAGAACTGCTTTTTCTCTCCACGAAAGCGGATGTTCCCCAGCGGAGCATCCTAGGGCCCTTCGTATTCACCATATACATAGCGGTCATTCTCCTCCAGAAGAATATACGCTCTTTTGCTTACTACAGCCATCCTATCATACAATTCTTCTCTAGTTAGTCATAACATAAAATTCCATTTGCGCCTTCTCCAGTGTTGGCCAAATGGAGAATTTTTTTTTACTTGAAGTTTGAGGATCAAGGAAAGAATATAAACAGGCACATTTGTGACCCAAAAAAAAGTATTTTTAACAAATAAACACATAAATCAAATAATATATCATCGTGAACACACGATTTTCTGAAATATCATTTGAATTGTTTGATCTCTCAAAGCTGATTTTTTTTTTTTTTTTTATTCCATATCATTTAAACTGTATCTTAAAACAAACACTAGTAAATAATACACGTTATTTTTTTTCAGTGCGGACGAAGGCTTCGACGGGACATATCCTACAAACGTCGTTGTGAGGAACAACGGCAGCTGCCTCTACGTGCCTCCCGGGATATTCAAAAGCACCTGCAAAATAGACATAACATGGTTCCCTTTCGACGACCAGAGGTGCGAGATGAAGTTCGGGAGTTGGACTTACGATGGGTTTCAGGTAGGGCTATCTTGTCGGAAACTGGCTACTGATAGCAAGTGATGTGCCCTACAATAGTCACTAACACCCTGCCTCTTTCTCTGCCCGCCCCTGCGTAAAATCGTCCACCGCCCACTCAAAAATTACTCGGACGGTTTAATTTATTGACCTTTTAAATATAAACGCACTTATTTATCTACATATTTATGTTGAAAATGTAAAATTAATTAACCCTTTTTAAGTTCAAATTAAGCTTTTTTAACTTCAATTTAAAAACCTTTTATTTTCAAATTACAGTGGAAATCCGGACCCGTTCGTTAAAATATTTTTTATAAATTATTCAGAGATCTTGAGATGCGGTCTGGTACTGTAATGTATAGCGGTATAGTTCCAGATCTCCAAATAATCATTAATTAACGGTCACTAAGCACCACACATTTTTTATAAATTTTTCATAATTCTCAATATATCTACATTTTTTTTTTAATTCGTAATTCCGCTATGGGACCTTGTTCGAAATTTGTAAAGACCACCAAATCGCCCTTCAACTAGTCACACGATCGAAGAGGCCGGATAAGGCCGACAGTCACGTTTTTGATTAACAAAATAAATAAAAAATAAATAAAAAAAGTGTATACTATTTTAAAAGACTAAAAATTGTTGGTCGTGTTGTTCGTATGTTGGCTTCCATTGAAAAGGGTTTTTTTTTATTACGTGTATCTTCATTAGGTATTTTTACGTATAAAGTTTTCGAGATACGCGTTTCTGGACTTAAACAAAAATAAAACTAATAAAAATTATCTATTAAATGTAACCTGATATATGAATAAAAGTGTTCACTTTCGTATGTCTGTTTTTTTCCGTTTTTATGACATGATACTAATAAAATCACAAATTTTCGCATAACCCGGACTTTCGATCATCCGGACAAGTCCCCGTCCCTCCAAGTCCGGATAAACGGATTTCTACTGTAACTCCTTAAGCTACAAAAAAAATAAAACCTATACGAAAATTATAACAATTACAATTAAAACTTATATACAATCAAATATGAAAAACCTATGGTTCTCTTGTAAATTCGAGATTTTTGTTTAAATATAAATATTGGGATCTTATATAAAATACCATATGAACTTTAATTATAATTCAAATTTAATAAAAACAAATAATTCCTATTTTATATAACGGTCAAAAAAATCTTAACAAAACTGGAATATAAAGGACGAGTTTAACTTCTATCATTGTTATTATTAATTTTTATTTTTGTCTGCTTTTTAATGAGCCAAAAAGTTTCAATGTAACCCTCCAGCAATGTAGAATACAATTAAGCGCTTTTTTAAGTATTTCATATGGCGAGATACTAAACAATGTACATTTTTTAAATGTTTCTTACGCTGAATTCAACGGTTCTGGCGTTTTTTAATACGGATCAACCGTTCTCAAGTTTTTGGCAGAACCCGAACATGGTTTTTCGAAAAAAACGAAATCTTCTCAAACTTCTTCAACATAAAAAGCAATTTCCTCATTTACCATTTTAACTGACAGTAATTTTACTATTTTATTGCTCATGGATAAACAATATGATAATCAAAAATACAAAAACATGGGGGACAGAAGTTAAACTCACCCTGTAAATTTCACTTTTCGTAAAGAAATTTTTTAACCATATATAAAAGAAAAACATTTATTTTAATATTCATATTTATATAATATTTAATTTTAATTGTAATTAATGCTCATAAGATATTTTACATAAGAGCCAAATATTTATATTTTTTAAATGTCGAATTAATAATAGAAAAGAAATTAGTTTTTATTTTAATTGTATGTAACTTTTATTTTATTTGTTGGTAATTTTCATACAGTTAAGATTATTATTGCTTTGGAGAAAGGCTTAATTCGAAATTAAAAATAGGTAATTTTGGAATTAAAAAGGGTAATTTGAAATTGAAAATTCTTAATTTGAAGTTAAAAAGGGTTAAGTTGACATTTAAAAAGGTTATTTGAAGTAACAAAGGGTTAATTTTAAATACAAAATTTAATTTGAAGTTAAAAATAATTACTTTCAAAGAAAAAGTTAATTTGAAATTTAAAAAGTTAATTTGAAGTTAAAAAGGTTAGTTTGAAATTACAAAATGTTAATTTGAATTTATAAAAAAGTAAATTAATATAAAAAGGTTTATTTGGAATTAAAAACGATTAAATTGAAATTGAAAAGTAAATTTGAACTTAAAAAAACTTAAAAATCTGAAATTACAAAAGGTTGACTTGAAGTTAAAGACGCCTAATTTGTCAATTACAAAAGGATATTTGATGTTAGAAAGTGTTAATTTAAATTTTTAAAAAAGTTAATTTGAGGTAAAAATGGTTAATTTGACGGAAAAATTGGACAAAATTTTGATCACGTTTTTTAACAAAATCAGCAAGACGTCGAAACTATACCCTTAATTCAAGCCCATTTCCTTGGAAAATCTTGATTAAATTATTTAGTCTTTAATTATTTTTTTTTAAATTCTTGAATTTAAATGAAAAACGCGTCGAAGTGTAATATTATTGTGAAAAAGAATAAACTGGCCGTGATGAAAACGTTTCGATTAGTTTTTTTTTTAATTGTCTCAGATATGGTATTTCTTTTTACCATATCCTCAATAACAAAAATGATGGTTACCTTTGCTTTTTTCTAATCTATGGTAGCTGGTTTTAAATTATATAAAAAGTAAATAGTATTTTTATTCCTTCTTCACTCCCCCGAAAAACGTTGTTTACCTTCTTCCCCCTTTAAACCGTTATAATGATTTTTCTAATATGCCTTTTCTGTTTTTAATTCCAATTTTTAAAACTATCGACCTATTTTTCACTTACGAACTCTCCGGATCAAGGTATGTTCTTCAAGAAGTAAGCAAATTTAGTCGCTATTGCCAACCTTTCGACCTATTTTAAGGTCATCATCAGGGCAAAACAACCTTAAATTATAAATTGACTCAGAGCCCAGAGACAATGTCGGGAATGTGTCGGTCTTCAAGGAAATTCGGGATCTCCTGTAAAAACTTAAATATGTCAATCTGCAGACATAATCAGGCTTTTTTGCCCTGATGATGACGTTAAAATGGGTCGAAAGCTTGGCAATAGCAAGTACATTTGCTTTCTTCTTCGAGACCATACCTTTAATCCTGATTCAATTTAAATCATGAATTTTCTTATTGATACAGATATAAAAAACATTTTAATAAAGTTAGTAGTTTTTTAAATAGATTTTTCACTACTTAATAGTCGTTTATACACTTCACCGCAAAACGTATGCAGATGAAACGTTATATTTGGGCATACAGAAATGTTATCTCTATATGAAATGTGCAAATTTAGTATAGAAGATATCATTAGAACAAGGTGGGAAATTGTAACTAAAGACCCAACTTGAGAAAAATAAAATTTATCAAATATTGCCCATCTGCCAAAGTGAGAGGATGATTATATCTTAACACCTTATATATTTTGTTCTTGTTATCAACTATAAATTCTCCTAGTAGGAATTCTAAACAGAAAACTATGATTTTATTCCGATATGTACTGAGTTTTTGTGTTTGGCAATGTTTCAGCTGGATTTACAGCTACAAGACGACAATGGGGGAGATATTACTAGTTTTATAACGAATGGAGAGTGGGAATTGTTAGGTAAGTCTGCCACCCGATTCTATTTCTCATCTTTACCAGGTGCACAAGTTCGGCTCAACAGGTAGAAAACTCAATTTGCTGTGGCGAGATTTTTTTAATTTTTTGCGCAGTCTTTCATTTTTTAGGAAAGACACCTTTTTTCATGTATTTTTCTTTATCTTTATTTTTGTTTTTTAAAGATTGAGAAAAGTTTGGATGGGTTTTCTAGTTTTTAGGAAAGCACGTTAGGGAGCAGGACTGGCCGGTGGCAGGAGCAGTAATCGATATCACTTCATCCTTCCTTCCCATCCTTTTCATCTCCTTTTAACTTCCCTATATAATCTCAGCGCCAGTATTTAAAAACCTGCTTTCCTAAAAGCTTTGATAAAGAACTGAAAGGATAAAAATTCATTTTGTGCGGCTGAACGAAAACCTATAAAAGATATTATTTAAATAATAACATTTTCTAAAGCGTTATTAACCAGAATGATTCCTTCTATAAGACCCTTCTCCCTGTACTTCCAGGTGTACCTGGGAAACGGAACGAAATCTACTACAATTGCTGTCCTGAACCCTATATAGATATCACATTCGTTATTATTATCCGTCGAAGGACGCTCTACTACTTTTTCAATCTGATCGTTCCGTGTGTGTTGATCGCCTCAATGGCAGTACTCGGATTCACCCTGCCACCGGATTCGGGCGAAAAACTTTCGTTAGGTAATTCTTTTGCACATTTTTTTCCCCTTTTTAATTATTCTTCTATGTTTAACTCGATTGTCACAGATGTTTGCGATTGTACGCTTTCGATACAAACGAAAACAGCTGGCGTTTTTTCTTCTAAACTGCCTATCTCAAAAGCCCTTGTTCAAAACAAAACGTAAAGTTTTTCGAATATTTTTATCGTCACTGCTGACATTTCTTTGTGCGTAAAACACCGAAGGTTTTATTCCTTGGTTGATCATTATTTCTCATACTTTCACAAAGATCTCACAAGCCGAGAACACATTTTTTTATATGTTTGCGTTTCCTTCTGATATCTTAAAGAGCTTAAAGTTACTTTATCACTTGAAATATTTCCAAGAATTTCACTATTTATTGAATTACATTTGTCAAAAAGAAGGCATGTCAAAAACCAATTTCAATTATCACACTAGGTAGAAAAATATTAGACACGTGTCCGAGCGTTCTTGCCTAAAGGCATACAAGATTTTTTTAAATAATTTACCTAATTTTTGTTCGGCCCTCTGCCCTTGTGTATATATTTCAAGATTTATATATATATTAGTCGTTTTTTCCATAATTTAGGATAAAGAAATATTACGCAAAATTTTATTAAACGATGTTAGAACAAAAACGAAAGAATCTTCAAGTAAATTAGGCCTAAAAATATATATGTTTCTGAACAAAAAAAAATCGGACAGGTTTTAGCAGTGTAGAAAGTTCTCTTATATGGACATCAAACAAAAAAATTTTTGGGCTAGCCATGACAATAGGAATTTTTTATTCTCTGATGACCGGCAATTCAACGCTATTGTAACGTCATTTACGTTTTCGTGGTCAATTGACCAAGTTACTTCTTTCGATCAATTAATTATTCTTTCTATGTAAGGTCTTGGTTGAGATAGAAAAGTCAGTGTCAGGAGTGGGATTCGAACCCACGATCTTCGGCTGAATACGCAGCTTCTCTACCACTTGAGCTATCGTGACTTCGATCCTCTCGGACACCAACTCTTCATCTGAACCTACAACCATTAAAATTTTCCCTCTTTTCGCCATTTTCAAATGTCCTGTAATCGGATTCGATTCTCAGCGACTTATGAAGTGGCCACGGGGAGCAGTTTCGTCAAGTGATACTTCTTTTACTTTTTGAATCCATTTACGTTTTCGGGGTCAATTGAGCAAGTTACTTTTTTCAATTAATTGTTCTTTCTATGTTATTGTAACGCTTGTAACGTGGCCACTTCGTATGTCGCCGAAAATCGAATCCTGACTACAAGACATTTGAAAAATGGCAAAAAGGAGGGAAAATTCGTGGGGTTTTAGGTTGAGATGGGGAGTTGGTATCCGAGTGGATCGAAGTAACGACAGCTCAAGTGGTTAGAATAGCGGCGTATTGAGCCGAAGGTCGTGGGTTCGAATCCCGTTCGTGACTTTTCCATTTCAACCAAAACTTAACGTAAAAAGATTACTTAATTGAAAGAGGTTATTTGCTCAATAGACAACTAAATATAATGGGGTCATAGTTACAGTTCAACAGGTAAATTTCCCTACTTTTAAATTGTGTCAACAATAATTAGACTTTATGTCATTGTAAGTGATAAAAATAAATATTAAATCAACAAAAAATCATTATCATTAATTGAAAAATTACAGTGCATTCCATCATTAACAAAGTTACCATAAACGAAAAACGCTTCCAGTAAAGTAGGCAAAAAACGTATTTTTTCTGTAAGACCTTTTCTGTAAACACAAAACAACAGGTTTGGATTTAGAAGGAACTTTGCTCTTCCCGATGTCCGGTTTCCCGGTCGTACATATTCAACGTTTGACCAAATAAATTCTTTTCAGTTAATTGAGGCTTCGGTTGAGATAAGAAAGTCAGTGTCACGAGCGGGATTCGAACCCACGACCTTCGGCTAGATACGCCGCTGCTCTACCACTTGAGCTACTGTGGCTTCGATCCTCTCGGAAACTTCACATCTCAACCCCACCTTTTGAATTTTCCCTCCTTTTTGCCATTTTTCAAATGCCGGACCATCTAAAAAGGACATCCTGCATAATATTAATAAGATGATAGATAATGATAAAAAAATGTAACTTACTCAATTAATTGGATCAATGCGTAAATTATATATCGGTCATACAAACCTTCTGGGTACCCGGTTAAAAAACGATAGCAATGATATAAAGTATAAAAAAATAACGCAGCTCTTTCTCAAAAAAATAAATAACACAAAAATGTATATAAATAAACTTAAATTATAGATGCAAAGTGGGTCATACGTTTAAAATACAATATGTGCATTGATAAATTAGAAATTTTATTCAATACGAGATAAGCTTTCAAAAAAATGTAAAATATGAATATCAATGTGTATCAATATGATTAACTCTTTTTATAGAAAATTGTATATCTGATGATGGGCGTATATTCCAAAAAAGTCAAAATAAGTAGTGCAAAACAGAAATAGACGTAAATAAGTAGCGTATTTACTTTTTTATTTTAAAAAACCGGATGGAAATGTTTCTAACATAAACCATCAAAAATAATGATAATAAGAAGAAGATAAAATTAAATCAGATTGATATGGAAAAAATTAAAATCAGCTAAAGAAGCTGTATCACAGAAAAAAATTATTTTGAAAAAAAAATTAATTCAAATCCGTTTTAAACATTCCTTAAAATTACAAAAACGAATTTTTATACCAATCAAAAAATATTTCATCATATTTTTTTTATGAAATTCGATATAGCTGCTTGATTAACTAAAAAAAATTTATGCAAAAAAGAAACCAATTCATATTCGTTGTAAGCACCTTTCAAGACCCTTTATGTGTTAATTTTTATATAAAACTAAAAATATGCATTTTTGGGTTTCTATTAAGAGGAGCTTTGCTCTGTCCGATATCCCATTCCCGGACATAAAAAATAATAACCCCTGTGCATTTAATCCAAATTCAACGTTTTAGCAGTTCAAAAGCTGAATTACCCTACTTTGAGATTACGCCAACACTATTTAAACTTTATGTTATTATAAGTGATAAAAATAAAATCACAACAGCTAAAATATCTTACTTTGTATCTCCGGTTCTCATGCATTTCTGCCTTTTTTGCATTTATTTAACGTTAGAGTTATTAGAAATCAGTCGGTTTTTTTAATGTAGAACACACAAATAATATATGATCGCATAAAATAAGATATAAATGAAAAAGTTTGGAAAAACCAGCTTTCAGTATAGTAGGTCAACAAAGCAATTCGAATTCGTTTTAAGCAACCTAGAAAACAACTGTTAAATACAAATTTTCTTTTAAAAAAGACAACTAATAATATACATTTTTTAAGTTTTTTGGGGCCAATTTCGTTTTATACGACGTCCGGTAATCTCGACATAAAAATTCATACTCTTCTGCGTTTTATCCAAATTCACTAGAATTTTAATTGCTTTAATCGCTGGAAAGCTAAACGATACCAGATGCAGCTTATGACAACGTTTAGATTTTCTCAATATTATTGTGAAAAATAAGATTGAAATCGAGATAAAATTTTTAAAGGTTTTATTAACAAACGTTCTTAAATTTACGTAGTATAAAGGAAAACTTTTATATATGGTGTTCTGCCTTTGCTGTTCAAGGTTATGTATTATTCGATTTATTTCTTTACCCAGATTAAAAACATAATATGTAAGGTTTTTAGTTGAGATAAAAAAGTCAGTGTCACGAGGGGATTCGAACCCACGACCGTCGGCTAAATATGCCGCTGCTCTACCACTTGAGCTATCGTGGTCTTCGATCCACTCGGGCACCAACTCCCCATCTCAACCTCACCTTCCGAATTTTCCCTCTTTTGACATTTTTCAAATGTGTAATCTATTTGATTCTCGGCGACAAATGAAATGGCCACGGAGAGCTTTCATGAAGATATACTTCTGTTTAATTATTAAATCCATTAAAGTTCGTGGTCCGATTGACCGAATATTATGTTTCAATTAATTAAGGTTTTTAGTTGAGATAAAAAAGACAAATTCACGATAGCTCAAGTGGTAGAGCAGCGGCTTATCTACCCGAAGGTCGTGGGTTCGAATCCCGCTCGTGACACTGACTTTTTATCTCAATTAAAAACCTTAATTAACTGAAAGATATTAATTGGTCAAGCGGACCACGAATTTAATAATATGTAAGGTTACTTCAATAAGAATAGGTACATACAAGGTTTCAACAACCAAAGGACGCGTCTAGTAAAGTAGGCCAAAAAGATTTTTTTATCAAAAAAAATTCAGTTTTAAGGAAACTTTAAATAAAAACGTTTACGAAAAACTAAAAATAGACATTTTTAGGCTACATTAGCCAGACATTGTTATATTAATAGACATTGTTTTTACGCAGATGTCCGGTGTTCGGGACTTAAAAATTCATAATCCCTCCGGATTTTATCCAAATTGACGATTTTACAACAGTTACAAAGCTGAACCATTCTCATTCAAGCATATTTCAACATGGATTAGATTTTTTCATATTATAAGTGAGAAACAACGTTTCATTTGATATCTCCGGTCCTAATTTATTTCTGCCTTTTTGTCCGTGTATTTCAAGGTTATTATATATCAGTAGATTTTTGTCATTTTGTGTAAGATAAAAAAGATAAAATACAGATTTACATTAAACGAGATTTTATATATAGAAAGGTATAAAAACCAAAAGATGTTGCACCACATACAAACATTATTTTTGAACAATTGATTCAAATTGGTTTTAACCACCCTTTAAATATATAAAAGGGGGCGTCGGTGGCCGCAACGGTTTAGGCCTTGAAAAGACGCTCATTATGTAAGGTATAGGTCCCGGGTTCGAATCCAGCGGCCCTACATTCTGACAGACTTACAAACGGGCTTTCTTCAAATACACCGGCACCCCGAGGGTTCATATAACCTGATAGTTGAAATACCCTCGTTAAATTTTTTGCAAAATACGAATTTTTATAACAAATAATAATAACTTTC